CCAGGCTGAACAAGCCCAGCTCCCTCAGCCGCTCCTCATAGGACTTGTTCTCCAGGCCCCTCACCAGCTTCGTCGCCCTTCTCTGGACCCGCTCAAGCACCTCGATGTCCTTCTTGTAGCGAGGGGCCCAAAACTGAACACAGTACTTGAGGTGCGGCCTCACCAGAGATGAGTACAGGGGGACGATCACCTCCCTAGCCCTGCTGGTCACAGTGTTTCTGATGCAAGCCAGGATGCTGTTGGCCTTCTTGGCCACCTGAGCACACTGCTGGCTCATATTCAGCCGACTGTCAACCATCACTCCCAGGTCCTTCTCCACCAGGCAGCTCTCCAACCACTCCTCTCCCAGCCTGTAGTTCTGCTTGGGGTTATTGTGCCCCAGGTGCAGGACCCGGCACTTGGCCTTGTTGAATTTCATACAGTTGACCTCAGCCCATCGGTGCAGCCTATCCAGATCCTCCTGCAGAGCCTTCCTGCCCTCGAGCAGATCGACACACGCACCTAACTTGGTGTCATCTGCAAACTTACTGAGGATGCACTCGATGCCCTCATCCAGATCATCGATAAAGACGTTAAAGAGGACTGGCCCTAGTATTGAGCCCTGGGGGACTCCACTAGTGACCAGCCTCCAACTGGATTTGACTCCATTCACCATGACTCTTTGGGCCCAGCTACCCAGCCAGTTTCTAATCCAACGAAGCATACGCCAGTCCAGGCCAAGAGCAGCCAGTTTCTTGAGGAGAATGCTGTGGGAAACAGTGTCAAATTTAAATAATAGATTTAAACAGTTCTGGGATTTTTAAGAAGCTACTGCAGCGCAGAACTCTTCAGTGATGATTTAGAGCTAAAAATATTCATGCCTAAGTAGACAGAAAAACATGGCATACATATTTGTTGCAGCATTTGCTTTTGTTGTATTTACAATTTTGACTGCCCTTAATCTGAAAATACTTTGTATAGGTTTTATTTCCTTAAAATAAATAAATAAGCTGCTTTTTTTTTCCCCCTGTGGTAAAGAACAACACGTAATGCCTGTAAGCACTGTTTGTCTTTTGCTACTTAACTAAAATCATTCATCAAAATAGTTCTAAAACAGCTGTTTCAAATGTTGTGCTAAACACATCTCATTTTCAGCATGATATTTAGAAAGATTAGCTACACTAAAAGGAAACTTCAGTGTCTGAGTAAAATAAAATAAAATAATAAAAAACAAACAAACAAACAACACAAAAACCTGAGAAATCAGAAGGAATACATCAATAGAAAATGAGTTTACATTATTGTACCAAACAGACTGTCCAAATATACTTGGATTTTCTTAACCAGAAATCACAAACAGCACAATTGTCATCAATGTTATTCTTGCAACAGTCTTCTTAACTATAGCAGTATTTCATCTAAAGTTCCATTTTATTTATTTTCTTTTATTAAGAAAAGCAGAGGAGATCCAGAAGTAAAAGATGTACTTTTCAGTAATATTAAGAGACATGAAAAATACAGCAGTTAAATAATCCTTTTATTTATTCACTGAAAATTTGTACTGTGTCAAAGCTGAATTATCAATTTTTCCTCAGTGAACAGCATTTGAATCTCTAAATCACAAGCTTATTTCCAATTGTTATTGATGAAAAGAAGTACAGGCTTTGAAGACCTGCTTTTTTAATGAAGATAGGTACACAGTGTACTATGTGTTTTTTTCTTTTTTAAAAAAAGACTTTCTAATATTGTTTGCACTATTGCAACGTTTTGATCTAGTTGTGCTGGGTTATTTAGGGGCATAAAGTAAATGTGAAGTGCTTTGTTTTCTCTTGAACTTGCAAGTGATTATTGCATTCTGTCTATACTGAGTGGCAGTTCTAATGGCCATGTGCACTGTAATAGTAAGGGATCATTAGAAAATTCAAGAAACAAGCACATAAATAAGATCAGAGTAAGAACCAACTTCAGATTTAAAGGGAGTTTTAGTGTAGGCTTCACTGTGCCATTAAAATTCATTTTGAGTCCTCCCTCCATGCCTCCTATCGATTTGACTTTGCTAACAAAAAGAAGTGGTCAAATGTTTTTAAACAATTTATTTTAAAGAAAACAATTTTTCATTTCATAGCTTTCTTAGCTTTTTCTTCTTTATTTTTTTTTCTTAGCCTGTAGGACACATACAGTGTTTTAATGCTATTGGATATTCATGCTATTGGATTGTTGCACTCTTGCTACCACTGCTATTGTTATGTGCAGCTCCTGCATGTGACCACAGGAAAGCTTCCGTGGGGTGAATGGTGACTCTAAAGTTTGTTAGATACGTGTAAGTTGCTGCTTGCCCAATATAGATCTGTGCATAAGCAGCAGGTACAGCTCCAGCCCTCTGATCAGCCTCATGGCCTCCTCTGGACCTGCTCCAACAGATCCACGTCCTTCTTGTGCTGGGGCTGTGGACCTGGATGCATCACTACAGGTGCTGCAAGGGCAGATTATGGTATCTTACTATTACCCAGTATTTTTGTATTTGTAGCATAATTTCGCTAAACTCTATTAAGAAAACTTGTGGGAACAATTTCAATTAATTCTATCTGCCTGAGATGATATTTTAATAGGCTAACATCATGGAAATACTCAGAAGCACTATCTTAGTCATAGTAAATCCTTCTTTTTAATGTAACAAGGAAATAGATGTTCTTTCATAAACGATAGAAATAAGGCCAGACAGCTTAAAGTACAACAATCATGAAAAAGAAAAGATGTTTGTTTTTCTGAACTGATAAATAGGCAATACCTTCATATGGAATAGGCTTTTGTAAAGTACAAAACAGTAATGTGAAGACAGACAGAGAGTAATTGCCAGTTTTTGCTCAGTTCTATACTGTATTCATCTGTTTCTGTGTTTTATAACTGTGATGTATTGATATCTGAGTTTGATGAGATAGTATTGAACTGGGATCAAAGAGCCAGGCATTGTTAATCTTCTGAACGATCATTATCTCCTCAAACTTCAAGCAAGGGTTTGTGCCACCAGTGCTAGCAAGGGTATTTATGTGCTTTACACTGCAATAAATATTGCAGGACCAAAGAATTCAGCTGAAGAATAAAGGTATATAGAAGTCAGTTTAGCCACTAGATGTTCAGAGGGGTGAGAAATGGGAAGAATATTTTGGGTGTTTTGTTTTTCTTTAAAGTTTTAACCTTAATCTAATATACCAAAGATAGCCCTACCTTTTTAAGTGCTGAATGCTTTCTGATTTTGTTTTGGCTTTCTGTATGCTGTTTTCCCCTCTGAAATGTAGCATGACAGATGAAAATAAGAGAAAAAAAAGAGAAAAGTAAGCATGTTTATACTTTTTATCACTCACAGACTGACAGTACTTGTGGGTGGCTTAAAGCAGCTGTTCCTCCTGGTTACCTGACTTCCTTCTTTAAAATATAGGTGTTAAAAACCACAAGTCTAAATGTCAGAGTCTAAATGAAGCCAAGAAATCTTCACTCAAGTTCACTAGCAAATCTGGCCAAGTACATTTATCCTTTCATAGGGACGTCATTTATTGCAGCCAAAAAGCAAAATACTGAAAGTATTTTAGCCAATACTTACGCCAGTGTTGTGACCCCCTTAAATGTGCTGTGTGAGCAACTGCAGCGATGCAAGACATGCCTGTGTTGTGGCTTTTTCATCATCTTTCTGCTGGAGTTGGTAGCTGTCGTGGCAGGGGGAATCGTACTCCTGGGCAGTTGAAGGAAGAGCTCTGGCCAGGGCTGGTAGCGGCGGGCAGGGGGGACCTGCTCCCCGTGTCGGGTGGGCACAGAGTTGGCACCCCCACAGAGGGGAGCACTGGGAAAGGCAGTGACTTTGGCTTTCCCAGCTAAATGAGCCACAGCCATTTCCTCACCTCCTTAACCGCATACAGAAAAGCATACGTTTTTTTTCCAGTTTTGTTTGGTAGCACGTCGATGTGTTTTTTGTGGGCGAAGGTTGCATTTCCAGAAAAAGGTTTTGTCATGAGGGTTTCTAAGAAGCAGTACAGACCTGGGCCTGGGATACCACAAGAGAAAGACATCTATACAAATACCAACTCGAAATAATTAGTACCCAGTGGGTAGGGTGCTCATGCTGACTGTATTTCTTGCTTTCTACAGTATCTTTCATTTTGCAGTTTGTGCATGCTAATGGGCATCTATTACAGTGTATGTGCCTCAGTAAGTGTGTCCCAATTAAGTAGACTACAAGAATCTCTCTCTTTCTGGTCCATGAGCAAGAAAATACTTGCAAAATTTTGAAGAACTGCAGCTGTGGAGATGGGGAAACTGGTCATCTTGAGGGACAACTAAGAAGATGGTGTGATCATGTTCTGTGGTGCACAAGAGCAGCCACTTCCCACTGTGTGCTTAGAGCCTCAGAGAAGAGTGGAAATATCGAGTCTCAGAAGGATTGCTGAAGATATCTGGTCCAACCTTTTTGTCAGAATAGGGCCTTAGATTTCAGGGGCAATAAAATTACTTTCTGCTGCTTGTGAACATGCTGTTAAAGCATAACGTACACTACTGTTATGCATTAATACTGAGTAGGAATAATCTATGTGCAACTTTCCTGCAAGCTTCATTCTAAATTGCAAGCCCTCCTGTAAGAAAGGAAATATTTAAAGCTGGTTTGGGTCTGATTTTCTTTGTACTGTTGTATAACAGGAAGAAATACTATGCTGTCATTTCCATATTATCTCTGCTCATTCAAAAAAATCAGAAGATAACTGTTTTTGCTTTATCGTTATATTTTAAACTTTTCAATATGATGATCATTTAGATAAAATGCAGTTCTGATACAGAATTTGATTTTTCTCTTTTTTTTTTTTTTTTTTTCCCTTGTACCCTTCTATTCAGGTCAATTATTTTAATTTCTAGGGATACATGATGTGTGTCTTTTCTTTCCTCTCAAGCTGTGCTGAATTTTTCTTCAAGGATACATTGGGAAAATAGAATAAAACAAAATGTTGCTCATTTTGTGTTATCCTTTAATTTTCTAGGTGATAGTGACTGACCTCAAATACGAGAGCGGCTTTTCTGAAAACAATCTATCTGACAGACAACAATGGACATAAAAGATCGAAGACACCGCTCTTTGACGAGGGGCCGGTGTGGGAAGGAATGTCGCTATACCAGCTCTTCACTGGATAGTGAAGACTGCAGAGTCCCAACACAGAAGTCCTACAGCTCAAGTGAGACTCTGAAAGCTTATGATCATGACACCAGGATGCACTATGGAAATCGTGTTTCTGACCTGGTTCACAGGGAGTCAGATGAGTTTCCAAGACAAGGTATGTTTCAAGTCAGAACTGTTTTCTTCTACAGTAATCCTTGGTAGACATTTATGTTATTTGTTGTACTGTACCAGTTTTACAAGGAGTTTCAATGAAATAGCTGTAGGAGAATGGATGCTGTTTTACCATTTCTTCAAACTAGCAACTGTTTTGTGTTAAAGTAGGAAGCTCTTTCTCTTAGATCTCTGATATTGTTGGAATTCACCATTTGTAAATGAACCAAACCAGGATCCGCCATTCAAAACATTTGAAAACAAATGCTAGCAACTCTTAGTCAGATCTTGTGTTTGTTTTGTGTCTTGGGATATGCTAATGATATATTCAGTTTTCTAGATTGATTTTAGAAATAATAATGGAGCTTTCACTTAAACTTGTCTTTCTTTGACAGGGTACCTGTGCTGGAAAGATAACTAAAACACTGTTATGGTAAAACACCATATGGTCAATGTATATTAATTACTAATGAGGTGCCTTGGCATTCCTTTCCTCTTCTAACTGCTCCGTAATTTACATGTGTGAATGCTGTTTCCTCTGGCTTCATTTTGTCACCGCTTACTCTTACTGCTTACCCTTTACCTCATGAAAAGTGGAAGGAGGAAACCCATCCAATTACTTTTATAATTGGCTATAGTGTGTTATCACAACACCGGGGTCCTACAACTAGTATTTGAAATAACCTGCCTGTGTGAACTTGTAAGCAAGGCTGTTATGTTGTCTTTTTACAAAATATTCCTAGCTTTAAATGTGTTATATTTAATGAATGAATTAACAGTCTAAACATTTTTAGTTGAAAAAGTCTTCTTTCCTATCTATGTATGCTTTTGTACTATACACATACATGCATGCATGCATGTAGTTATAGTTTCATTTTGGTATTTACTTGTCTTTGCAAATCTTTGTCTTCATAAGTCTTTGTGTTGAAACCATTACTGAACGTTATTTCACAGGAACAGTGTTTAATCATCTGGTTAACTTGACCAGGTAGCCTGATTAAATTGTCCATCAGTCAACAATTAGATGTGGTTGCTTTTAAAATAAATTACTTGGCTTAGTTTTATTTCAAGAATTGGGTACAGTCTAGATACAGGAAGGTACAGACAGTACTGAGGCATAAAAGTGTAGCTCTTTTGAGACCCTTTGAACAGAAGGTAAATTATCTAGTACATACTTAATTGCTGAAATTATTATTTCATATGTGTGCTTGTTAATGGCATATGATTGTTCTCTACTAAATACTTCTAGTGTTGTGACTACCGTGTTTCATGTAACTCAGGAAATTCTAGGAGGTTATCCCACTTCTCTGTGGAGATAATTCTGTAATCTCCTGTCTAATAAAAAGTCATTTTTTTATACTTCCTATCATGCCATACAACTTGTTTAAAGCATTCTGTGGGCAGTCAGTGTCTGCCTTCACCTTTAAATCAAAGTATCTATTAATTTGCATCCTTAATTAAACCCTTGTCTAATCCCTTGTTTCTCTTGCATTTGTGTACAGACATTTTAAAGTGTTTGCACTGTGCTTTGTCTGTCAAACACCCAGTTCTCTTTTCTGAGGTAATCTCTGTTCTTGTAAGGTCTTTCTTTGCTTAGACATATTTACCTAGAGATAGCGCATCAAACTGCAACTAGATCATACGAGCTACTGGAGCCATTTTCTCTGTGGGTTGTTCAGCCTTTGTGTACAGGAGTCATCTAAATATTACTTCTCCCTATCTGGATGATTGATGCTTCAGCTCAAGTGCCTCATTTTAGTTTCCAGGTCATTATTCGACATTTCATGAGGGTGTTCTTTTTTTCTTGATTACTGATTTGACAACTGTTCATCCTCCTCCTGTTCTTAATGTGTTCTTATCTGCCCTCTTTATGAAGGGGAGTGCAAATTGTTGGTAACTGAATTGAAACGCTCCACAGACTTGTTCCTGCTAGTCTGTGTTGTTATGCCCAGATGAATAAAGTTTATTTTAGAGAGCTAAAGTATTTTTTTTCTCATAATAATAATAATAAAATCAGTAATTCCTTACTTTCCTGCTTCTGTTAATGTTAGAAAAAAATTCTTTACAAAATCTGTTAGTAAAGTTCTTTTACTGACATTAATATTTGAGGTAACTTGGAAAGTAGATATTGATTAAGACTCGGGACATGCTCTCTTTTTATACGTTGATTTTATCTGGATCTAAGTGTGGTTCATACATTAGGAAATACTGTTCATTACATTTTACGCAGTTTCCAGCTGCAGACGTCTAGAAATTTATACATGTAAATTTATTCTAAATTTGAGTGGGTATTTTGATGGGATTAAATTCTTTAGGAAATAAACATGCTTTAAATAAATAGTTTTTAAGGATTTTTTTATTCTTCCATTATAAAAGACTGGAGTATTTCTTAAGCAATTTTAGATATTTTGCTCAGTGTTTTTGTCTTTTCCATTAGTATAGCTATAGTCTTGTCAAAAAGAGATGCTGTATCTGGTTTTAGTTAACCTTGACACTGGAACTACTCAAAGCAGTTATTTTTAGCTGTTTTCTGATCATAAGGTGTTTGGTTTTCAAATGTTATTCAAAAGACCAACTTGTAACACCATTTTTGTTTACAAGGTCTTCACAATGAAATGCTTGTAGCACAAACTATACTCAGAGCTCAGAAGTCTGAAACAGATCATCTTGGTTTGGTTTAGCTTTTAGTTGTCCTTCAGTTCTGGCTTGGTACTCTCATTGTTCATGAAAAGAGAGTGTTGAAATATAAATATCTCTCAAGGTTAGTATCAATAAAGCAAATGTTAGGAACGCTGATGGCAGTTTAGATCTGAGAATATAACTTAAAATCTTTGTCATTGATTGCAAGTTTTGAATAAGCTTTTTCTGCATGTTGTTGACAAATCCACCTACCAAAGCAAGTTCCTCTCTATTTTAGGTGCCACTTCTGGTATGTTATTTGGAAGCGTTGCTATGAAGGCATGAAGGATGACAAGACTTTCTGTTACCCAAAATACTTTAGTCTGGCATTACTTTTATTGTCCTTTTTCCTAACATAATTTTATCTGTGATTTTTCTGAACAATGAAATTCTCTTTCTGAGGTCTGTTTTTTGACATAATAGTGTTAATGCAAATAATTCAGAATAGGTTTAGTATCTGTGTCAAACGTATTTTCTGATCACCCTCAAAAGAGGTCTTCAGATTCTTGGCTAAAATTAGGTGTCAGGTGTACAGTTAAGCTATTAGTTTGCCTGAGATTTTCCCCAGTATTAAGCTATATTTGTTATCTAGTACCTGCATTGGATATACATCAGTCAATCAATCTGAAAAAATAACATCTTAAGTGTATGAGAGAGCATTCTAGCATTACAAGTTGCCTTAAAAGTTGAGTACTCCTTTTTGAATGCAGTATTTTAAGATCAATAGGAACTTGTGACGTATCCTAGCAGAAAGTAGAAATTAGTGGGTTTTTTTTCTGTATGCCATGTAATTTTGCATCAAAGAGAACCAGTTATCTTACCTTCACATATATATATATATATTTATATTATTTAAAGAAAATACCATCTTTCTGACTTCATCTGCTGATACAGCATGGTGAATGAAGGTAGATCTCCTTTAAGGAAAAAAAAAAAGATTGTGGAAAGACATTCCTTAAAGAGGTTGCTTTGAAAGGCAGGCTTTCTTCCTGTATGCTTTGTAACCAAACTGTGCTTAAAAGAGCGCTCTCTCCAGAGTTATTGGAGTTTAAACTGGGTTTCAAATGGGTGATTGCAAACATTAGTATTCTGCAGTTCCTCACTTGGCATTCATAGCTCATAGCTTTTGTATTTCTGCATGAGCCAAATGCCAGGCTTCATCTGATGCAAAATTTATTACCCAGCAGTTATACTGAATTGACTGCTTTCTCATTCTCAGGTCAGATCTAGTTTAGCAGTAAATCTCTGCTGTGAAATGTAAGAACAAATAGAATATATGTTTGGAGTTACTAAAGTAAGTTGAAACAACACAATGATATTAGACTGGGCCCAACGGTCTTCTAAAATATTTTGACTTTTTTTTTTTTTTTTTTTTTTTTACCACAGTTAATTATCTTGCTTTGTATGTCTTAGCATCTCTTTTTGCATGCTGAGATAATTTCAGTAAAAAACAGGCAATACCCTTCCGTACATCAGCTTTTTTTTTTTTTTAATTTCCATATACTTAAAAATTTGTGCTTTTTTGTATTCTATTTGAAATATGAACAGGAATTAGAAAAAAAGTAACATGTTGTAACAATAGCTATAAATTTGTCCATTCTTTTTATTTATTTTATATATAAAATTGCCCATTCTTTTTATTAACATCTAATAGATAACTGTTATTACAGTAAAATCCTAGGAGAGTGGGAATTGAGCATAATGCAGTCAGTTTTCATTCACATGAAGTTGTGTCAGTGCGCCATGCTATTCAGAATTTCTTGGGTGTTTCATACTGTCTACATTTTATTTTTACAGACTACTTTAGGACAGCACTGATAGCTGCAAAAAATAAATGTTGTTTTCTTGTCTTGTTCTTCTTCACATCGTAAGTCTGTCACCAAATACTTTACTGGGACACATTTGAAGGAGCACATTGCAATAAGAGCATTTCATAGGAGTGGTTAAGGTTGGCCAGGTTTTAAGTCTACATGGTCAGGTATTCTCTGTCCAGCAGTAACTAATGTACTGCTATACTTAAGTGATAGTTGCTGTTAGGGGTTCTCAGGGTAACTGAGCTTTGTCTCTTTGTTTATATTCCTAATAACACCAAGATGAGGTTTCAAGCCTTCTGCAGTCAGGCATGAATCGTACTCAACTATTAGGTTCAAATTAGTTTATCCCTTCCATATCCAACAGAATTTCACTAATTTTAGTTCTAATTTTTCTTTCTAGAACCTGTGACCTTTTTAAAATTAAATGTTTTTCTATACATATATTTGAATTAAAAATGTTACAGGAAACCTTTCCTTATATTCTATTTGGAGAGGGATCACATCTTTTAGT